TGTCAGGTTCAGCTATCTGTTTTCTCAACAGAAACACAAAGCTTATTTTAATGAAGAATTTAATATATATATATGTTTTCTTTAAAGTGTATACTGGCCTATCAGTGAAATAGTTTTAAGTGTCGTCATAGTTTTACTTCTTTTGTATATAGTTTCATTTGTTTTGTATATAGAATGCTTACCTTATATTATCTTTTTTTCTATGGATTTTATTTAGGCCATATGTAATCTTTTAATTTTGTTTGTTTATCTCAAGGAACTGTATCCCAGAATAAAGTTATTTTCTATTATCTATCTAAAAAAAAAATCGGGAGAAGGTTTCGAAAGTCGATTGATCGAAAAGACTCTTGATAATATCATTGTGCACTTACAACCCACTGAATTGATGAGTATTTGGTAAGGAATACTGCTTCCAGTATAACACAAAGAAGTAATTTGGCCAGGACCACGCTTAACTGCCAGGTCTTTCCCTCATCAAGTGAACCCAGTGTAGAGAGAGAGAGAGGATGGGAGGGTCCCAGGAGGATCTTCCGACCCCAGGGTGGATCCATGGCTGATGTCACAGAATAAGTAATTATCTGTCACAGCGAGACCCGAAACCGTTCACTGGAGTGATTTACTAAGCTACTCCCTTCCCCCAAAAAAGAAAACTTTTTTAAAAAATGGGTCATTGTTAAAATACCGTTAGCCTTTTGTAATTATAGGTTATTCCAAAAATGCATATTATATTATTTCATAGTATAGGTATTCTGTTAGTTCGGCGTATCTGATGGGGAAACCCCGACTCCCTAAATTACCAGGAACCTCAACCCGGTAAAGCTTATTATCCTCTTTACTTCATTAATAGATTAGTATGCATAATTTTAAGACTCCTCTCAATTAGCACACCTCAAAGTAGCCACAATCCTACCCCCTCTGCTAAATGAACAACAAATCTTAGCAACAGTGGTCCAAAATTAATTAACAGATAATTACCTTGTTCCAGAGTACTTAGGCACTCAATCGGAATTAAGTGGATTTACTTGAAATTGAAGACGTCTGAAATATAAATTTCCATTTAAAGAAACTTACCGAGGTCAACTTCAAGTATATACACAGAAAATGTGTAATACAAATGTTGAAATACGCAAAACTCTTCAACAAAGAACATTCAATCGTAGAAAATCATTCAATATAAATTTTAAAGAATGCTTTGTAACGCAGTAACTTTGGCATGAAAAGGGGGAGTGGGTCTGAGATGCAAAATTCGACCTCCGTACCCAACCGGATCACTTTTTTAAACACCCAAAACTGCTACATTTTGACCACGAAGGACCACGTTTTCTTTAAAATTTTAAGTTATTTTTCCTGTTTGATCATATGCACTTTTCTTATATGATTGAGTGAAGTAAATTTTTATTCATTTTATTATTTTGAAGGACGGGTGAGGGAGAAAGATGGGTTTTGTGGTAGGAGGGGATATCTCTTTTCAAGACTGAAATTGAAACAAAAAAAATATTTAACCAACATTTACATCAAGTGCATACCAAAATAGTAAATGAAGTGAATGCAATTTTTTTAACTTGAAAATATTAGGATAATTTCATGTTTATGTCTTCAATAACCTGTCTTACAAGAGTTAGTGAAGTAAACATTTATTTAAGTTATTACTTTGGAGAACTAGGATACATGGATATAGGAATTGCTATAAATAATGAGAGCTATAAATAATTTATAAAATAAGTGAGCTAGAATGACCCAAGTCATTTATTACTCAATCTTTTTCGCCATGCCTATGTCGATGGCGTTTTTCCACTGATTAAGTGCCTTTTCTATAGAACTGTTACAAATATATTAAAAATTATTCCATGATTTAGAAAGATAAATGTATTCTCTAAGTGTTTTACTTCAAAGTGTTTTTCGTTATTGTTGGTTGGTTAATAACAAATGACGCTTGATTTTTAACTTTAGTTTGAACGATTTGAAAAAATTTACATTACTGATATTCTTCAGTGCTAAGACCAATTTTTTTTATGTTTTATAATACTCTGATTATCCAGCTTTTATAAAAGACCAATTATGGCGAAATTAAGCCAATTGCTGAATTTCAGTGACAGAAAAACTAACTCAAGTCAAAGTCGTCAATGCGCCATGTTTGGGCGCCATTTTGAGGCAGTGCAGTAATTTTTTTTTTTCGTGGTACATTGACATTTTTTTAATATATAGTAACAAGAAACTCAACAATGTGTAATATATAGTGATGTGTGTGGAGGGTGCGCTGGAGGGAGGTCTTGCCTACGGACTACACTCTCCCACCAAACCTTTCCCCTCCTCCATCATCCCTCCTTCAAAATATTAAAATTAATAAATATTTACTTCACCGTCACATATCAGACTGGTTATTGAAGATAAAAGACAATTGCATATGATCAAACATGAAAAATAATTTAAATGGAAAATAAAATATTCTAAACTTTGAAAACCTGTATCTCGTAAACTATTTGACTTACTGAGCCTGTTATGGTGTTACATTGTAGAATATTTAATCTAATTTAAAAATGTATGGAATGTTTTTTGTCTAAAACGTGCTCATTCATGGATAGAGCGAAGGAAACCGAAAAATGTTCAAAAGTGATACTCGTGAATCATATCACATTCTGACAAATGCTACAAGTGGTGATGAGGAAAAAGATATATTTTTCATTAAATAAAATTAAGTAGAGTCAGTCAAGTGAAGAAGAATTTAAATATTTGACACACAGAATATTGCAAGTTAACGTGGGGTGAATGCTGTGTCCTTAATCTCGGGGTATTATCCTCCGGTAACAGGTTCGCAGATGGGGAAAGATAAGTGGTTTGCTACAATCTGCTGAAGGTGTCATAAGGATATATTTGTCCTATTTGAAAGATGAATAATTTTCAAATTTTTACAGGTGGAGAGGTAGAAGGGGTAGCCTCGCCCTGGGCGAAAAGGAAAGTCTAGAAAAGAAGTGTGGACAAATTAGATGCAAATATTTTCGGATGGAATAGAGAATCGATTGGAAAAATACGTTGGAGAAGGGTGTCCAATGGAGGAGACTGTATAGAAAGTACTGTGGGATGACATTTGCACAAGGAGAAGGGACTAGCTGACAATTCAATCAAAATCCAAGTATCAGTCAAGTTATGACATTCGTTCAGAAAATAATTCATGTCATATTCGTGTTGGCAATCCTTAAAATTACTATAAGTAGTAATGCTCAGATCAGCATCCATCTTGCACAGCATCAATGAAATATTCTGAATGTATTTATGATGTTTAGCCCTTTTTTATTCAGGGCATTTAGATAAAATAGAAATAATAAAAATAAAACAATATCATCATCATATTTATTCCAATACCGCAGTTCAGTGTGGGTTGTCATTTAGATAAAATAGTAAATTGTTAACACGATACCTTCTTATATCAAACTCATTCTAGTACATCGCAGCAGGAGAGTCCGTGATATCTAGCCTTTCTTAATCAGGTTAAAAAATAAAAAGGACATTTTTAAACACATCAGTTCTTTCCTGTAATAAGCCCAATAGAAATATATTAAACATATTAAATTAACATAAATGCCGTTTTAATACTCCCACTGGCCTTTAAAAGCGTAAAACCAGAAACATAGTACATCTCACATGCAGTAAATCCTAAAAATATAGTATTAATGTTGTCAGCAATGATGCAAAGTCTGAACTGATTTATCGTGTTTATACCCAACGGGATAGAAGTGTAACCTTGAAGTAATGTAAGATTATACGTTTTTACATTTTCAGGGGGTAAATTATTTTTGGTAAAAAAGTCTTAATAGAGACTGGTAAGCGTTCGAGAGATTTACCGAAGTAAAAAGCGGAAGGTGAGCACGTAGGCTACAATTAGTGGTATTGGCATCGAAATTTCGGTTTCGCTTAGTATTTATCATGAAAATTGCCTCTATCCATCAATCTTTCTCTATGTAAATTTGGGAGTATTAGGTTATTAGTATATTTGGGATGGAGTATGGGAGAAGGGAGGCGCCTGGCAAATTCTCGCCTTGGGCGCCGAAAACCCACACGACGGCGCTGATAAAATTCATACGTTGTTATCAGATTTCATTATTGGCTAACTAGAAATAAATAATAGTTAATACATATATATAACATTTCGATAATACCATTATGACAACAGATTGTGAACAAGTTAAAAGTTTGGTGTTGCGTTGTAGTTGGTTATGTAATTCGCTCATTCATTTTTAAAAAATCGCCTCACAGGAGACTAGTACATAAGCTTTTGACGATTTGACTTACAAAGACAATTAGTGGATGTTCTCCTAAACATCAGAATGCAAATGGACTTTAAAGACGACGGAGCTCTCGCTCATTTCACTTATCAGGTAGAGTTGTAAAGAACGTTAGATTGGTCGCTGTGGTCAAATAAGTTGGCCTCTTAGATCTCCAGACCTCACTATACTGGATAATTGTATAGGAGGAGGGGAGAGAAGCTATTTCAAAGATGAAGAACACAAAGTAACAGTTGACACGCGCGATGCACTAATTCAAAGTATTAATGCTGCAATAATTAAAAGAAGATGTGCAATAATCAGGACTGCTGTATATTCATATGCGACTGCTGTTCTTTTGGAGAAGTCAAAAAATTGTTGATGCCAATGGTGATATTTTCAAACATATTTATTAAAATGAACCATTGATAACCGAAATGCTAATACATACATGTATGAAATATTGTTTATTTGTGTAATTTTGTTTATTTTTTAATTATCCAGTCAAATTTAAACAAATTAAAATCGGATAAGAACATGTGATTTTTTTATTTTATGAGTTCCTGAGCGAAACCCACTGGATGCTTGAAGCTGGACCCGTTTCTCTCGACTTACACTATATAAGTAGCATTTGAAAAATATTGGCAATGCGGAATTGACTCCTTTTTAAAATGACCTGTTTAGTTCTAGAACAAACTTACACACGATTTCCTACAGCTCTGCAGTTTATTGTCAATTGAGTTATAGATTTGATACCTCTCGTAAATGTTTTATAACATGACTGGGATGTCGATAACAACTGGCCATTGGCCACATCGGCCCAGGATGACATGGAGGAGATAGAAGGGAGGTAAGATAAACGGGGAGATAATTGTGAGGCAAGAGGAGAAGAGAGTGTCGATAAAGCTGCGGCTGCGCGGCGCGACGAGCGTGCACGGGTCCTCCTTCCTCCTCCCAGGCGCCACACAGTCTGCTTCGCTCCACCTCGACGGAAGCCTCGGCTGCTAAGTCTGCTCTCTGAGTAATGGAAACCTGTCTCTCAACAAAATTAATTATCTCATCCTATTATCAAAGGAGGCATTATCAATTTTCTTCTCCAGCTTATTCTGCTGTCTAAAATATATGATATGAGACCTGAAGAAACTAATTTTTCCAATACTAAACAAAATTTTCAATACTTGAAATCAAATAAAAAAAACTAACAAAAGAAAAAACATTAGTATTATTTTAACTCCTTGGGTTGATTTAAGTTGGAGTTGCAATAAACGGTAAATTGTGCCAAAAGCACTATGCTAATTAATTCTCAAAGTAATTCTGTTTAATGTTTCAGAAGTTAATATCGTTTATTGCAGCTCCAACTAAAAATACACCCAGGTAAAGGAGGTATCGAGGGCGCCCAGATGATGGCGTCCAGTCGATATCGCCTATCACCGTTGCTTATTGAACCTTTTTACGTACCTCCGATTTAATTATTTCTTTCAAAGCAGCGCATGATTCCGTGGACGGGAACTATCTTTTTAAAATCGTGAATGAACTGAGATGTTGGTGAGGTTGACGAAGGCGTGTACAAATGACCTTAAATATCTGTTCCTAATATAAGCAGAAGTATATGAATCTTTCAATATTTCAAAATGGCTTACGGCATGGGGACAGGCTCTCGACTTCAACTAAGCACTGGAGAAGGTAAAAAGAGTAAGAATGAACGACCAACGGTTAGAAATACATCAGTGTATAACAAGCAAACAGAGCTTTCATCTCTCTCTTTCAAAGGTATTAAAAAATTTCAATAAATCTCATATGCAATGTTATAAAGGCTATAAAGCCAGTTCTCATATACGGCTGCGAAACCTGCACACTAACCAGGTCCTTAGAAAGAAAGATTGAATAATTTGAAAGAAAATCCTCCGCACGATAACCGGAGCGATGTGGAATCAAAGTATTACAACGTAGGGGAGAAGTGTCAATAAAGAACTGCTAGCAGAAACTGCTAGATCAATATCCCATCATATGGAGGCACGTATATTAAGGTTGACGAGGTATGTAGTTTGGCGCAATCCACCAGGAAGTCTCTACACAATAACGAATGCCTCAATACTAGACAAGAGAAGATGTGGAAAGCATAAAAATAGATCAAATCGAAAAATATTCAAAAGAGCAGCATGTAGTTAACTGTAACGAAATAGCCTAAAATGATGATCTGTAGCAGAAGACGGAGAGGGCCTGATTTCGCGTGGAGGGAATGAATACTGTCGGCGACTCCAGTGCACAGTAAAGTTGTGTACAAGCTAACTGCTGGGTGTGACAAAAGCTGGTTTGATGTATAAAAACATTAAATGCGTTCCCAATTCATGTATTGATTATTTAGTATTCCTGTATTTAAAATATCTTAAAAAACTTTTTTAAAAAAGACATTGTTTCAAAGTTAGCAGATTGCAGGAATTTTCCCGTCAAATTGGTGATTCGTCTACCTTCAGATTTAATGTTCTCAGCTTAGCGCTTATTCACATTGTTAGTGTATTTGGAGTTCTATTTCCCTCACACAGATAATTTTGAAAGAATGTATATTTGATTCATGGTATTTATACGTGTTGTAGCTCCTATAATTGATATTATAAGTCAGTTTTATAATTGAAATCATACCAACAACAGAATAATTTTACGTAAATTACCACATATGAAGATAGCATAATGACAGACGCCAATGGCGGAAACAGTTCATCAGAGGGACTTCCGCCCTCCTGCCCGATAGCTAATTGCCATGGGCCGATTGGATCGGGATCCTAATGACGTGGCACCCCGCTCGGCCCAGGGCGGCAGCCAGGGAGGCTTCTGTAACGGGGGTTTGCATCACCAGCGGGAGGTCGATGAACGGTCAAATAGTGATGATGAGGAAAACATATGATTTAAAGTTATTATTGAGGTATTTCAAATAAATTCTTTAGCCTTCAAAATATTAAGATCTTTATAAATAAACGGTAAACGTTTCGTGAAAGTTAAATATCGCTAAACTTAAAAATAAATTAATAAAAATATATATAACACCATAGGCGCCGACATACCATTCTGGTTAAGAGAGGGAAGAGGGATGCTTAAATATAAAATAAATTTTCATCAATAAAAGAAACTTAGAGCGTGACCTACTTTTACGTTCCACCCCCGAGGCTGATGGCGTATAAACCTTCCCACACCCCGCCCAAGGTATTTTATTTTTCTCATTTTCTTAAAAATAGTGCAAACGGAAGTAGAATTTAAATATTTAGAATAGAATAGAAAATAATTTTATTCTGGGACGAAGTCACTTCAGAATAACAAAGAAGAGCAGAAATTAAAAGTTTACATCTGGCCAGATAAAAACAAACATAAAAAGTAAAGATAAAGATAAATCAGTAAAAAAATATTTGTTATACATGACATATACAAAATAAAATAAAATAATCTATATACAAAACTCTCGAAACCATACTACGATACTTAAAACTATGTACAATGGTAAAATATAAATAAACCCTTTTAGAAAAAATACAAAAAAAAAATAAATGTAAATTCTTCTTAACAGTAAAATCTGTGTTTCTGTTGAAAAAATATAAAATAAAAAAATATGTAAGTTTACATAAAAGGTTAGCTGGTATCTGACTGTTTTTGAAACAGGAATTGGAATAGGCGGGTTTTGAATGTAGTTAGGGATAAAGAATGTCGGATTTTGATAGGAAGGGAATTCCAGAAACTAACAGAACGAGCAATAAAGGAGTTTTGGAACGAGGCAGATCTGTGAGAAGGAATGTAAAGGTCGGAAGGTCGAGATCTTGTGGAGAGGGAGTGGATTGAGGACTTGAATTGGAGAAGATTGTAGGCGTAGGAAGGACGATGATTGTTGATGATATGATGGAGGAATGTACCTAGGAAATATTGTCTTCGAATGGAGGGAAAGAGCCACTCTAACTCAGTGTAGTGGTGAGAGACATGGTAGTATCTAGCACCAATTACAAATCTCACGCAACTGTTCAATGTTGTAAATATTCGTAGATTACTTACAATTACACACACTGCCGTCTATTAGATGCTTCCACTTGTCTTTTAATTTGAAGCTTTTCATTTTGAAAATTCATAACCCCGTCGAAAGGTGCCCCCCCTCAAAAATTGAAAAAAGTGTCCCTCCCTCACAAATGTTGATGGCACAACTTACACCATGAAACCCCCTTCTCGGCACCACTGTAGCATAGCCCTGTATTAGACTTTTCCTATTTTTGTAATTGATTTGAGTTCACATATTTTATTCATTTATGTAAATTAATTGTGATTCAAATGATTTTATTTTTGTTTTTCGAAATATTGTGGATTAATAACGATATCCTCGACCCCCTCTCTATTTTTATTGGGGAGAGCCCACAACACCATCCCTCTCCAAGTCTGCGCCTATTATAACAGTTAAAATTAATTTTTCCGAAACGTCAACTTGACATGTAAATCAACAAATAAACTAATTGTTTATATGCCTAGAAGTTTTCATTACCGAAAATTGTATAAAGTTTCCCAGAAAAAAAGGAGAAAACAGTTTAAAAAAAAAATTTTTTAATTTTTTTGTTGAGTATTATAACAATCTGTGTCTTAGACATTGGTTATAGTGAGGTAGAATAACATTCCACTGTATGTAAAAAAAATGTAAAATAAATAGAAGCAAAATACCCAGTTAAAATTAAATTTAACAACAGTGATAAAACATACGTTCACTAATAATCATATTTTAAAAGTAAATTAAGAGACAATTTAGAATTTTGCAAAAAATAGTAATATAAGATAACGTAGAATCAATACATATAACAAAAGCCACTAACAATTTGACACTGTCTTCAAATTCATTCGATATCTCAACCATTCGTTTTACATTTGGAGAACTATTGTACAAACATTCGGACGAACTTTCGCACTAACGTTCACTCAAAATGTAGGGCCCGCTTCAAGGGCTCTGAAAAATTATTAGTTTTATATTTAATGTTGTCTACAAATAACAATTAATAAGCTACAGGAGAACATATGTAAAAGTTTTGTTACCCATCATACTTGTTCCAGAGTAGTTCTGAAAAAACATTTCTCACCAGATTCACTCTACCGTAAATCCTATCCTTCGGGTAATAAGGATCCCGTGAAACAGTATCTATTGTACCAATTTGTTTTGAATTTTAAATAAAATTATACTTCTACTGATATGATTGAAACATTTCATTTAAACTAAAGCGCAATGACCTGACATTTTGAAAAATTTAAAGTACCTTGCAAAAGAATAAGATTATTCGATTCATTCTTCGGAAGAATATCGTTGCTGAGGTTTAAGCAGAACCAAGGAGAACCCAGCGTCAGGACTTGAATGGAGAATCTGATCCATCAACGTTTTATGAATTTTCATCGCTATCGAAGCATTATAATTTTTTGCATGAAATTTTTTGAAATTCCTTAGAAATTTAATCACCAACAACAAACATTGTATTGACTTCAGAACGACTCTAGCGAACAACACGATAATTATGAAGCACTTAGTGCTCTGTATCATACGCAAAGTGGTATGAGTACGACCTCCATAGGAAAATAATTAAAACCAAAGATGTAAAATAAAAATGAGTTTTTATAAATTTCTTGGTTAAAAAGGAATTAATTCAGAAACTTATTGATGTTGTTAGAAAGAACAGTAATTCAGCTTTCCAACGCTTGTACTAACTTTGAATGTGAATAAAATAATAATAATTTATAGAATGAATGCTTTAGGTGACGGACAAAACAACAATCCTAGAAAATCAAGTACTAAAATTTGCAATTTTTTATTTCTATAAAAATTATTATTTATTAGTTTTAAAGAATACTTAAAATAGAATATTTTTTTTATATATAAAGATATAAAATTTTTATGGCTTACTTTACTGGAAGGCCTCTTTGGTCTTTGCTGCTTAAGATAATTTATAATTTATTTAATACCATAATCAATAGTTGAAATTTTTAATATTTAAATTATACTTTCTAAGTTTTCTTTTTTTAACATTAATTTTTACTTTTTAAATTGTATTTTTAAATTTTATTCTTGAAATTATTAACCTTTATAATAATTGCCTTTCTTATCTTCTTTTAAATTTAAACTTTTAAATTTTATACCAATAATTCAATTGTACCACTATATTTAATTGTAACTATTTTTTAACTTTCTAAACTGTAAATTGTATTTGTTAACTGTAGTTTTGTTATTTATGTCCATGCATCAGTATATCTAATGGTAATACAGGGTGAATATGATCACGGTGATTGAAGAGTCCAAAATATTTATTAATAAATAAATAAATAATAGTGCGAGAGCTCGTCCAAAAAAAATGACATCTGACAATGTTTTCAAGATATTTATAACATAAATATTAAACAAATGAGAGCATGCCAGTTGGATCATGGCGGCTAATTTAATGAATATTAGGCCAATGAAGTGAGGACCAAACAACAGGAAACAGGAAATTCATTGCGACAAATGTAGGAAGAGTTTTTATTTTTCTATCTTATATATATTAAGCATGTAAAAAACAAAATTTCTAACACGCGCCACCAAGGAAAAAAATTTTAAAGTAAAAAAATCCAGATTTTTTCGACAGGTCAATCATAGGTGAGAAACGTTTTTGTTTTCCCCTTCCGTGCCTTTAATGCATACGTGGGGTTTTGAACTCGAAATTAATTTTCCATCTCAAACATCGGTTAACAGGTGCGCACGCGCTAGCCCGCTCGGCTACTCCGACTCTCAACATTTTCGTAACCTAGGTAATTAAGTACTAATTAATTCTAGCGCTAGATTAATGAATAATGCCATATGCGGCCTAGGGGCCGCAGGATGCTCATCTGTGGACTGTGTTAGTCCTTGATCCATTCACGGTAATAAAATATAACGTTTTGTATAGTTAATAGAAGAAGGTAAAATAAAATCAGACAAATTAGAGTAAAGGAGTGGAGGTAAGAGAGAAAGAAAGAGAGGAGACAGAACAATGGCCCCTCTGGCTCCACGTGGAGGGCGAGAGCCCATCCGAGTCACGTAACTGTTCGGTAATTTCCACTAAAACATTTACATACTACCATCACTGTCAACAGCCTTTGTTAAATTCTATGTTTTTATATTTTTTTTTCCTAATTTTATAAACGAATAAATTACTAAAAAAAATCCCCTAGTTATCACATAATTATAATAATGGTAGTATAATTAAAATATCATGTTACTTTAACGAGATTACTACAACACCTTACAATTTTACTGTAACTATGGTTAATCAAATAAGAAAGGGTAGGGATCAATTTGGTTCAAAATTATAGATTCTTTAAACACCGTAATAATGAAATCGATGATATAATTTATTATATGAATAATGGATAATAGTGCATAGGTTCAGAGGCACTTTTCCATATTCCAGCTACTTTTTTTCGGATCGGGTTCATAGCTGTTAAAGAAGCAACCGTTTCATAACTAACGGTTATACAAAGAGGTGGAGAAGTGATCGTTCACAATCTATGAACTCCTCAGTTTATTGAGGATTTATTACGTGAACTTTGAAGCTTATTTTTATTTTATCTTCACCTTACCCTCGATATACGTCAATACGGGTATTAGCTGAAGTGAGGTAATACAATCGATCAACATCGTTTTCGATAGTCAAATTTTAATATACAATATATCGATGTTTCGATTTATTAATGTTTAGATCAATATTCTAACATCCTTACCACAATGTGGCATGCTTTCCGAATGTAAATTACACCTAGTTTAAATTCTTAAGGTCCGCAGAGTTTGGAAATTTTGTTTTCATCTAATTCTGGGGTCTCCAAACTTTTTAAAGG